GACTTTGTTATAAAACTCAAATAAGTGGGTATTTTTGAAAGAGCAGTATAAACTAAACACAAGTGTAAGAATCCCAAATCTCCCAGACCGTCCCTCTGTTCTAAAAGAACACCCCTTTGAGGGGGGTGAAGTGTTTCATTTCCAGGAAATCAGACTTATTCTTGATTCATCAAGAGCATTAAGACTTGGTGAGGAATCACCAAAAGCCAGATTGTCTTCTGCAGCCAATGTTTACACATTCTCATGCAAATGATGTTAAAATATGCAGTCAAAAATTCTAATGGACTGTCTCAGAAATACACACAGTAGAAAGAATTTAGCTAACAGGAAGAGAACATAGAATGGGACTCGCAAGAGATTTTAGAGTGTTTTTAGACATGGGCGGAGCCTGTATGGAGAGATGTGAAGGCGGGCAGGCGTGGGGCACTGAATGAACCGGGTTCCTACAATGAGCTCGAGACCCAACTGGAAGGAGCCTGCAGAGCCGGAGAGCGGAGTCGAGACCTGGAAGCCTTCTGGACAGACGTTCAGTTGTGAAGCTATTCATGGCCATAGATGTTCCTAGCAGAGTGCTACTCCTGCCAGATTTAGCAAATAAAAACACAAAACACCCAAATATTGCAGGAAGCGTACTGGCACTAAACAATCATTTGCTGTTTGTCCGCAATTTAAATTAATTGGACATCTAATATTTTATCTGGCAAACCAAGCTGCAACTCAAATGACATGAATATCTTTGAACCTGATATTAGTGTCTGTAGGGTATTTTGGAGAAAAAGTTAGCACTGGCTTTCTGGCTGTAAACTACCAGAAGAGTTTAAGGCCGCAATGAAACTGGTGGTAGATTGCCATCTAGTGGAAGTTTGGTGATAGTGACAGCTTACTTCTGAGGGATTGGCATTTTCCTAGTCTGCAAGAAAGGATTCTGCTCTGGCCCAGTGCAAAGTCTTGAGGTTGCGGTGGTGCGGGTGATGAGGTCAAGAGGATGAGCATGCCGTGGGGGGAGTCGAGGTAGGAGGAATACTGAGATGCAGCTGGCCCCCCACGATCTAAGGAGAGGAGTGGCCTGACCGTGGCTCTCCAGCTTGCACACTTCCTCTGGCATGCCAGCAAAAACCCAAACCAAAGCTGGAGCTAACTGTCAAGAGGCACAGATGCGGACGGCTCAGATGGGTGTGGAACTATCAAAAATCTATGTCTACAGATGTAATCACAATGATAATGAACTAAAGAAGTCCTGCAAAAGGTAACGGAGGGGCTACAAGGTCAGATTTTAAAAGGACTGAACAGATGTAAATGTTAAAAGGCAGTATATTCTGGAATTCCAAGGATCCTCTCTCTTAAGTGTGAAGCCCAGAAGCAGTTCTGTGCTGCAAAACATGCTAAAGTCCACTACTAACAACCATACGGGCCATGGCGATACTAAAACCAAGCTGGGAACAGGAAGAGAAGACTGGGGAGAGGACAAACATACGCCTTGAGGCAGATGTTACTATGTCAACATGTAATATCCAGAGAAAGCAGAAGCACTTGGTTCTTATTTCAGCCGCTCTTCTCCAGAAAGGATGATACTCTAAAATTTAAAAGCTTGGACCAAAACCATAAGATGATCTTGAAACCCAAACACAATCTTCTGGCTGATTTAAATAATTCTAGTTTTTGTTTTGTTTTGTTTTGTTTTCCAGAGTAGAACAGGAAAGGATCTCAAAGATTTAATAGAAGCAATTATCCTAATTTTTAAAGGCATGATTTGTAGAAGCCAAGGAAGAATAAATTTAATGTGTAATTGTCATAAATTTCTAGAAGAGATGATTGAAAGATGTTAGATAAAAATCGTGAAAGAGAATCGGTGTCTCCTAAGATAAGCCATGCCAAACTGATCTCATTTACTATGTTGTTACGTTTATGAGAATATTAAATCATTAGAGTGCTATAAAGAGAATATGTATTTATTTTAGTAAGCCATACAGCAAAGTTTTTTCCCAAAATGTATTTTCAAAATCTTGGAGATTACAAAGGATGGTCCTTGGATGATAGTATAGTTGAAGATTTTTAGCCAGTTTAACTTTCAGCCCAAAAATAGTGCTTATTAAGGGAGTATTTTCAAGGAGGGATGTCAAAATGCTCTGTAATTACTTGCTTACTAATGATGATCATAAAATGTAGAAAGCGTACTGATCCAATTTGCGGAGACCAAACAATGGTCGTGCTAGAGCAGAACTCCAAACCACCCTGACAAACTTGGGAATGGGCTACAGTCAACCACATGAGACTAAACAATGTATATTTTTGTCTATTTAGATGAAAAAATATCAATTCTCTAAATACAAAGTAAGAGAGTGATTTTAAGACAGTTTCTATGAAAAGGGACTAGGGGTAACTGACAGTCAAGTTTGTATGGGACCAAGAATATGAAGTGACTGGGGCGGGGGGATCCAATTCCTCTCCAGACAATAGAAGAGAGTGTCCTTTCTGATGGAGGGGACAGTCCCACTGTGCAGTGCAATGGGCCAGACTATACTAAAGGCAGGTCCCGTTCTGGCACCGTCCTAAAAGGAGCAACCATAAACTCCTCTCCATTTGGAGGGAGGCGTGCAGAATGGTAAGGAGCCTAGGGAGCAAGCCACGGGAGGGCAAGACAGAGGAATGACCCATGGACCTCAGATTTTGTAACACTGGATCTATTTTTTGCAGCACATGGAAAGCAACACTCAGATCAATTAAACAATAGTGATGTCTCCTGGGGCACCTGGGTGGCTCAGTGGGTTAAAGCCTCTGCCTTCAGCTCAGGTCATGGTCTTGGGGTCCTGGGATCGAGCCCCGCATCGCATCGCGCTCTCTCCTCAGCAGGGAGCCTGCTTCCCTCTCTCTCTGCCTGCCTCTCTGCCTACTTGTGATCTCTGTCAAATAAATAAAATCTTTAAAAAAATAGTGATTTCTCCCTAGCAGAAGAAAGAACTCAATGATAATTAAAGCTTTCAAAACTTCCGTGGCCCCTTGCCTAGGCGACTTAGTCAGCCACCTTTGTGGCCTGTGACTGGAAAATCAAGACTCAGCAGTCCTCCATCTGTGGGGGCATAGAGGAGACTCCGGGGTTTGTCAGGAGGTTGGACTTGTCAGCTTGTCAGTTTTCTTCTACCTCTAGGATTCTATGCTTCTAATAACTTTTCACCATTTTCTGTTTGGTCTACCATTATTTCTTAGTTATTATCTCATTTCTTTTTAGTCCACCATTAGAACGTGTAACGCTTTTTAGCTGTGTTGCATGTAGGCATAGCATTTTTTTCCCAAGATTTTATTTATTTGAGAGAGGTGGGGGGAACTAGTGGAGGGGATGGGCAGAGGGAGAGGGAGAAGAGCCTGACACAGGGCTCAGTCCTAGGGTCCTGGAATCATGGCCTGAGCTGAAGGCAGTCGCTTAACCAACTGAGCCACGCAGGTGCCCCAGGCATAGACCTTGAAGTCCCTTTCCCTCCAGTTCCTGGCTTTAGATGGCTACACTGTTGCATTTGCTCCATACTCAGTTGCTACGATTCTGAGGGGCAGGAGCCTGAACCAATTAAGAGCTGGCGGGGAAAATACCCAGCCTCCCCAGGGGGCTCACGGGGCTCTGAAAGCATTGTGGTGGCTGCTGGAAAGAGTGGGGCAGTAGCATGGGATGGAACAGGGAGAGCCTTCCATCGCTCCCCCTTACGTCTACTCTTAGGCTGCTCATGCCGTGGGCCTCATGGGACAGAGCGCAAAAACAAAAGATTTGTGAAACATATACTTTAAAGGACCCAGATATGAATCATAACCTAAGTCCTTTCAGATTTCAACATACACATTCTAATCCCGAAATTAAGGTTGTTGAAGCCGGGCTGTTCCAACCCTTGAGAGGCAGGGGGAGTCATCGGCTAGAACGGCAGAGCTGAGCTACGCAGTACCATCGGTTCAGGAAACCCTACAGAGACACACATGTGTTTTTGTGCAACCAAGAACTTTCTTCTCCATTTCCAAATATTTTGCCGAAAATTTTAGTTCTTAGGAGTCATGACTCTAGAACTAGTATGACAAATATAAGTTAAGTACTTAATACACGTTTTGGGGGGAAAAAGTGTATTTTCCAATAATCATAGTGTTTGGAGGTCCAGAAGGGTACACATACTCACCCTCACCAAACACAGCGATATGGCTTGAATCGAAAGCCCTCAGTACCTAGTGATTTGGGCACTGCAGGGCCATTAGATGTGGGTGCTACACAAACAGGTAGGAACATCCTCTCCTTGGTGCTCCCACCCCTCATTCCTAGGTCTCTCCCTAAAAAAGAGCTTTGGAAAAATAAGTTACGATTCGCAATGCTAGAGACTTGACCTAAAATATCCTTGACTGTCTCCTGTAATCCTATTCCTGTAAAGCCCAAATTTTGGAGAGAAGTCCGGGCTCAGATTTGCTCAGGTTCAGTCCCGAGTTTGGGACTAGAGCATGATTTAATGTCAGGACTGAAAACAAGGCCCAAGACGCCCAATTTCTCCTCCAGCAGGAGAGATGGGCCCAGGGAAGATGGCAGGTTCCACGGGATCATGCCCAAAGGAGACCTGGCCTGGACAGCTCGGATGGCATCCAGCAACCAACCGGTCAGCTGAGGGGAAGGCGGTGAAAGAAATGCAGCTTTTAATCAGTGAGCGGGGAGACACATAATCACTGAGGGGAACCCAAGAGTAAACCAGTTTACTGGCCACAACAGACACCGGCTCATTCGTCCGGCAAGGAAAGGCACGTCAACGTACACAGTGTTCGGAAGTCACGCGCACCCTCCTTGGGCTCGAGGCTGCCGCACAGGGGTGTGGAAGAGAGGGTGGGGCCAGCCTTCACCCTTCTCAAGTCAGGGCCAGCTAGGTGGGCCCAGAGAGGGGGGATGTCCGACTTCCACCGTCGACAGAGTCCACAGTCCTTCCCGACGCGGCCGGCTCCTCCGTGGCACCCTACCCCCCTCCCACTCCCCCTCCTTGGCCCCACGACTAGGGGCCGCAGCTGTCCTTGTCTTCATCTCCGACCTCCTGCAGTGCTAGGGGCTCCTCCCCGGAGGTGGCAGGCGGCTCCTCTCGGGTCTTGTCAAGGAAGGACGCCGGTCCTGGTCCGGCCGCCTCCGGCAGCGGGGCGCCACCTGGAGAAGGCCGCCGGCTCCCGGCCGGAGCGCAGGGCGCCGGGGGCAGATCCGGGAGGAAGCCCTCGCCTCCCGGCGGGTGCCCCAAGGCTTGCGGACAGAAGGGACCAGGGAAAGGCAGGTCTGGCAAGCAAGGGTCATTCCAAGGGACTGTACCTGCGGGGTCGGAGTGCAGAAAGGTCAGACAGGATGACGGGCACCCACCGCCCTTCAACATCCTCTGGGACAGACTCCCCTCCCTCTCCCACCGGAACGCAGCGTAGGAGCCCCGCGCCAGTGTAGACGAGGTGCTGACACCGGGAGCCCCCACGGGACTGGCTCGCTCCTGACTCCAGGTTCTGCGGTTTGGTAACGTGGACACAGAGTGGCCTGTGGGGCAGGCGGGCGCCCCCCCCCCAACATGCAGACGGCCGGGAGGCCGGGAATGGACTGCACATCTCTCTCCTCCCCTTCTACGGGAACTGGTTCTCACTACGATTGCTGCGTCCGGATTCCAGAGGTGGGGGGGGGGGCTGTCCGGATGCTCATCCGCTGCCACTTATTCTGTACCTTCCCCTCACGTCCTGTTTCCCTCCTACTGTTTCTCACCCTCAGCAAGTCCCTCCCCGAAAGAGGAACACGATTCCCATTAGAGGAACACAATTCCCATTTCAGGCCAGAAACGGAGACTGGGCAGAGCTGGGAATGGCCGCGCTGGACCTCAGGCTTCAGGTTTCCCAACGCCAGGGCTCTCACCGTGCAGCTCCCCAGACGAAAGCTCCATAAAGCCAAGCAGATGCGCGGAAAGGGGATTCGCTCACCGCCTCGCCCTGCCTCAGCCCGCCCTCGGCCAGCGAGGCTCCCTGTCCCTTCTCACCTCCCGCAGTCACGAGGGGCCCTTCTCTTCCAGCCCCAACTCACCCACGTTCCCCGCAGGGGGCTGCAGCACCATCGGCCCTGGCGGGGGGCCCAGGAAGTAACCCTGAGAGGGACCCGCATTGGGGCCATAAGGCGACGTGAAGAGGGAGTCATCCGGCAACGGAGGGATCAGGGAGGAGGGCGTGGGGAAGGGGAAGGAGTGCAGGTAGGAGTACTGGGGTTGAGGCTGCTGGTAAAGCTGGGGCTGCGGGGCCTGGGGGAACAGGGGCGGTCCTGGTGGGGGGCTCTGCTGGTACTCCTGGGGCTCCAGCTCCTCCAAGTATGAACAGAGGGATGGTGGCGTGACACTGGGGGGGACAAAGAAGTATTTTGAGAGGCTCAGGGGTAGTAGCTTCCTCACTGTGGCCACACAGTAGTTGAGTCCCTCCGCATGTCCACGACCCCAGACTTGCCACTTCCTTTGCTTTCTCTTCCAGTTCCTGGCTTCTCATACCTCCTTGCTGTGAGAGTCTAGATCTTTCCCACCTTATGCTTTTAATCCTCATCACAATTAGGACTCCTCCTCTCAGCTAACCATCCCCACGAAGATATCTTTTCTCCTTCTATACCTGCCCAAGATAACTCAGGGACCACCCCCATCAGTCTCCATACCTTGTCCCCCAGGATCCGCAGGAGCCATCTTTGTGGCTGTTGTCACTGCCAGGAGTATCCAGAAGCAAAGGCATCATTTGGGGGGTAGGGACAGGGCCCAGGGGAAAAGGAAGGTTGACTCTTCGGACAGGGGGGGGGCTAAAGAGTGGTGGGGTCACGGCTGCCCTTTGCGTGTTCTCACTCTGTTGGGCTGGGGCCAAAGTCTGGTCAGAGGTCAGCAGCATGGGGGGCTCTAGGAACCAAAGCCAAAGAGAGGTTACAAGGGTAAGAGAGTGGGGACGCAGATTTGGAATTATGGATGGTTAAAAGTGTGCCATGCCTAGGTCCCCTTGACTAGGCCCCACTGGACCAAAACCCTAGAGAGCACTGGCCCACTTCCCCATCTATCTAGAAAGAACTCTGTCTTTCCAGCCGCCACTTCCCCCCCATATAACTCTCAGAAGGTGGTCAGCTTACCTGTGAGAGTATCCAGAGTGGGCTCCTGAGAGAAGGTACCAGGCTCTGGGGCCAGGGGCATGGTAGGTGGCAGCTCGGCTGCAGTGCTGGAGGCAGGCAGAGTGAAGACTGTAGTCCTAGTGTCCCTAGATTTAGACCAGGGCTTCAGTGCAGGGAAAGGGACACCAGAGTCCCAAACACTGCCTTCCTGCAAGACACTGGCAACTTCCCGACCCCCTCCATCCAAAGTGTCTCTAAATATCAGCCAAGAACTCCAGCTTCATGGCCAACTTTCCAACACTCTCTCCCTCTAGACCCCAGGAGCCCAGCTCAGAGCCCACTTCCTACCTATGAGGAAGAGATTTAGGAAGAGGAGAAATTCTACCTGCACTGACTGCCGGCAGGGGTAAGGGGAGGGCCCACAGGACTGCCCTTGTTCTCCTTTCCGTTCAGCTTCTCCACTTTTCGCCACTTCGCCCGGCGATTCTGGAACCACACCTGTAGGGCAGAGACCCTTGTAGAGTTCCAGAAACTTGGAAGAGACCAAGATTCAGGCTCTGAGTGTTGCATGACTTTAGGAGGTCACTCTACACTCACTGACTTTCTCTGTGACAGTGGTTTTAGGAAAAGGTTCACCTACATAGCTCTGAAGTATTTTCCTCTTCTAATCTGAGGCGGTACCAACATGGAAATGCGCAGAAACACAGCCAGATTTATAGACCTAACCTCAGCCTCTAAAGGGAGCTGCTGAGCACTTGCTATGCTCCCCAAGAGTTCCAGTTGGTCGTTTCTCCTCCACCTGGAGACCCGTTGGCCAACCCCCATTACCATGATGCGTTGGGGGGTAACCCCCACCGTCTGGGCAATCTCCCGGCGCTTATCGCCATCTGGATAGTGGTCTTCTTGGAAGATCCTTTCTAGCTCCTCCAGCTGGTCTGGAAGAAGAAGACACGTGCATGAGGACAGTGATGTGGCAGCTGATGAGAAAGACAGATGACTTCCTGACGAGACCACTGTTCCTAACCCAAGGGTCTTCCCAGGGCCTTGCAACTAAGTTCCCCATTAGGCTGGTGCCTTCTCTCTCTCCTGGGCTTTGTGGCAAGGAACTGTGAGGTGTTTACTTTCTGGCTCCTTCTAGCCTGGTCCCAATTTCACTTTCTGATGAAGCAGCCCATTGAGGGCCTCTCACCTTCACGGACTTACCTGAGCGGTATAGGGTCCGAGTCTTTTTCCGAACTTGGCAGGTCACTTCTGGGGTCCTCTTCTGATCTGTGTTTTGTCTGTTCTGAGCCAATGTGCTGAGGAGGTTGGCCAGATGGCAGGGCCCCGGGCCTGACCCGCAAGGCACTAGGTTGTGCGTGGCACGGGTGGAGTTAATGACGCTGGGAGATGAGGCGGAGGCCAAACCCCCAACACTGAGCGTTTTCTGCTTACTGGAGGCTGGAGAGTAGGACCTCTTCCCTGGCTTTGCCTCTCTCACTGGGAAGGAACCACCTTCCCCGGGAGGCCCACGTCTCGGTGAGTCCATAACTGTGTCTTTGTGGAGAGTCCCGGAGCCAGATGACCAGCTCACTCTCCCCGTATCTGCCCCAGCTGGTTCTCCAGGGGCCTCTGATGGCAGCTTCTCCCCAGCGGCCGGGTGGGAGGGGGGCAGTTCCTCACTTGGGGCATTCCGGCTGTGGGGGGCTGGCCTCTGCAGCAGCTCCTCCTCTGGCGCAGCAGCCGGGGGCTCGCCTCCACCGTCCTGACCTGTGGGGAACAGCACCCACAGAGCTTAGCAGCAGGGAGAAGGAAGAGCCTGGACTTCGAGGATGTGCTGCTTCCTGCTCTGTCCTGTTTGGCCTCCAGCTTTCGTGCGTCCACTCGCCAAGGAGGGCAGTAATTCTAGGCTTACCGTTCTCTCTCGGCTGTTGCAAAGATCGAATGAGCTAATCCTCTGCTTTGAAAGATGTGAACAAACATAGGCACCCATGAGGGGGCCTGAGCTCGCATACACAGACCGTGGGAGAGCAGTCCTAATCTGGGGGGTACTTACTTTCTGGGAGCTGCCTGGGTTCTTCCCCCCAGACCTCCCCCAGGAATGTGAGTCAAGGGACAGGAATCTGTTCAGACATTTCTAAGGGACAAATGGTGAGGCTGAGAGCGTCCTGGGAGAGAGACCGAGAGGCTGCTGCTTCTAAGACTGCATCTTATTCTGCCGCAGGTAGGGGCTTTACTGCTTAAGAGAAGGGACAAGGACAGGCTGGCTGGTGGTATAAGGAAGGAGAGTGGGGGGCACATTGGGTTTCCAGCATTTTAGGCGAGCTTGTAGCTTAGAGAAACTAACTGGCACATAGTACGTGCTCAATGCATGCGACGTGTTAGAGCGCTCGGCCTTGAGAGGAAAGGGCGCAGGGGCCGGAACGCAGACAAGACGGGTCCGAGGGCTCGGCGTGCGCAGGGATGGGAGCCGCAAGGACGGAGGGCGCGCGCTGGTGGGCCTCCCTCGCACCGCCCAGCACCCGCAGCCCCTCAGCCCACCCTAACCCCGAAGCCAGCCAACTCGGGCCGTGTGGCCAGAAGCCGCCCCACGCTCACCCCGCGGTTCTGGGCAGGCCTCCTGGGTGGGTTCCATGGCCCGGACTCGCGCCGCCGAGACCCGCCGGGCTGCCCTGGCGCGGCCTAATGAAGCCTCGCCGGCGGGCAGGTGTGCAGGGGCCTCCCGGGCCCTGGGGAGCCCGAGCCCGCGCCCCTCACCGCGCCGCCAGGGCGAGGCCCACCCGGGCGGGAGGCGCGTGGGGCAGCTGCAGGGCCGCGCGGGCCTGGCAGCCGCCCCGCCCCCACCGGCCCCGAGGGCGGCCCAGGTGTGCGGCCCGCCGCCCCTCCCTTCCTCTCCCCTCCCCTCGGCCGCAGCTCCCCCGGCAAGGCCGCCTGGTCTCCGAGGGCTGCCGACAGCCCCGGGCCCCGCGGCGCCCCGGGGACCGGCCTCTCCGTGCTGGCCGAGGGAAGGCCACTCTGGGGCCACTCATCACGGGAGCCCCACACGCTGGGCTCGCGAAGGCTTCCCCAGGCCTCAAGATGAACGCGCCCCCAAGACGCCTCCTGACCGAAGGTTCTGAGAGCGCGGAGCTGGCCTGGGGACGAGGAGGAGGCTGCAGGAGCCGGGCAGCCAGGTAAGCCGCACGAGGCCAGAGTGCGCAGGCGGCACGCGTGGGAAGGAGCGGGGCGCACCGGCCCTCCAGGCCGCGGGTACCCCTCCAGGAGCCGTCGTGGGCCCAGGGTTCCTGGTCGTCCCCCCCGCCCCACACACACACTTGATGTCCCATTTTGATTCTCTGAGAATGCCAGGGAGCCTCCTGAGGGAGCTCTCACATGGCTGAGGCCTATCATTCCTAGTTCATAGCACGTTCTTGCCTTGAAACAAAGTTTTACAGAATTTAAAATTCTCATGGCGGACTGCTTAGGTCTGTATCCGACCCGGAGTGGAAAGCTCAGCTAGAGATTGAAACAGGTGCTGGAACCTGGGCATGGGGGGCGGGGTGGGCGCGCGCGCGTGTGTGTGTGTGTGTGTGTGTGTGTGTGTCCGGAACAGAATCCAGGTGTTTTGCTTTTAAAACTTAAAAGAGTCTGGTCAGCACGTGCTTGCCTGCTGCAATCATGGCTTTTGTCAGTCTTCCTGTGCCTCCTTTCCTTTGAGGACCTGGGAGAGCTGCCAGGGCTTTAGTTCTTTTTGAAACATAAAAATACAAACCAGTTAACTTCATGACAATAAGATGAGAACTTTAGGAATCTGATGTTTCAGTCAACCCCTCTAAGAGTAATATCCCCTGATAAATGAGAGGTTTAGAAATAGGGCCCAGTTTCCGAGCGCCTGGGTGGCTCAGTGGGTTAAGCCTCTGCCTTCGGCTCAGGTCGTGATCTTAGGGTTCTGGGATTGAGCCCTGCGTTGGGCTCTCTGCTCAGCAGGGAGCCTGCTCCCCCCACCCCTGCCTACTTGTGATCTCTGTCAAATAGATAAGTAAAATTTAAAAAAAAATAAAATAGGGCCCAGTTTCTCAGCTAGAAATGAAACATTAGGGGCCTTGTGAGCAGGGCATGGGGCGGGGGTGAGGTTGTTCTCTACCAGGACCCTCAGATGGTGATATGGTTGTAAACGGAACACAATAATCGGCTTGATGAAACATTTATAGGACACCTGCTGTATGCCAGGCCCTGTGCACAAGTCGGATTCCTTGCCTGCAGGAGCTCACTGGTATAAAGGGGACTAGAACAATTCTGTAGGTAAAGGGACTGTGTCAATACAGGGTGGTCAGTGGTGAGGTAGGAGTCTGCACCGGCTCATAGGAGCCCAGAGGAGCAGGAACGTCTTCTGGCCTAGGACTGAGGGAACAGGAGAGGCGAGGATGACCCAGGAGCTGTGAGCTGAAGGTTAGAGAATGAGGCAAGTTAAATGCAAAACTGACCTTGACCCAACCCTGCTTAAAACCCTGCAGTGGTCCCTGCCTGCCCAGGAGATAAAGACGGAGCTCCCTAAGGGGGCAGGAGCCTTCCAAATCCTGGCGCCTTTCTCTGCCTCAGCTTGCCTGCTTCCCCTGCCCAAAGTACTCCAGTTTTATTCTTTTCGACTTACTGTTTCTCAAAGAGTTTTCCTATCTTTCCCCTAGATCAAAATTTCTTAGGGAATTTGTGTAAAATGTGGCTCCCAGGCCCCATTCCCAGAAATTTAAATTGGTAGCGCTAGAGAAGGACTCAAAAATAATCATCTTAACAAGCCCCTCAGGTGATTTTTATTCATGTTCGAGTTGGAGACACTCCTAGGCCTTTCAGAAACAAAGTCAGTTAAAACCATCCTGGGGATGAGAGGGGGGAAAAATGACCTTTTGACCTCTACTAAGCTGTCTGCAGCAGTGAGAAGCCAGCACACTTAATTTATTAATAGATAATACTGCATTAAATTAAGAATAATTCATTCTTCTCTATCATTTATGTTGTATTTCCTCTCACTGGTTGCCCTCTGCCAGGGAGAAGGTCAGAAAAGCCAAGACTCAAATCACAGAGCAAATACCACCCTTAAACAAGTTTCAAGGTCTAACTGTATAAAAGCATTTGCTCTGCGTTTTAGGAAATTGAAAATGTGGGCATTTTTCTAAACACATAAAGAGTTGAATTTGTTAGGCTTGGACTATGACATTAGAAAAATCTAAGTTTTCTTTGTTGTTATTCTTGGCTTGCCATTGTGTGGCTTTTCTCTTTTTTCTCTAAATGACATACTGTTTGTCTATTTACATGAAAATTTGATTTCATTGCTGTAAGTGAATTTGGCCTCTTAAGGCTTAGAAGAACATCTTGAGGTATTTCCTTGGGAAGGGGTTGTGCTGATGATACAGGCTGTTACAAGTCCTCCCTCACAGATCAGCTGCCAGCGCAGGAGGCAGGGGAGGAAGACCACTCCTTACAGGGAGGGCAAGAACGTGTTGTTTTAGGATACTTGGAAATAATCATTTCTAAGTCTGGTTTGGTTAGATTTCATCTTGGTGATGTTCAGACCAGTTCCTCTGCTCAACCTTTCTTAGAGGGAAGGTTTATTTTTATTTTGGAGGGGTTCTTCATTTTCAAAGTTAAATTACAAACCACTACAACCACCCTCTTAACCCAGAATCCCTTATTCTGGGGTGCCGGGGTGGCTCAGTGGGTCAAGCCTCTGCCTTCGGCTCAGGTCATGATCTCAGGGTCCTGGGATCGAGTCCCGCATCCGGCACTCTGCTCAGCGGGGAGCCTACTTCCCCCTCTCTCTGCCTACTTGTGATCTTTGTCAAATAAATAAAATCTTTTAATAAAAAAAAAAGAAGAATCCCTTATTCCAACATCTTTTTCTGCTCATGGATAGGAGAATAACAGACAAAAAGAAACACTTCGGTTCTACGAAGCAGCGTCGTCAGGTGTGTTCTCAGTCTGTGTGGAACCGTCCAGACCATTAGGTTAGGCAGGTAGAATAAGCATTCTTTGTCCTTCTTTTTTTACGGTGAGAAAAACAACCAGAAGGTGGCTGGTTGAGAAAAATGTCAAAGCTGAAGCAGGGTAATTTGTTCTCGTCCTACCTGCCACACCCAGGCAGAGGCGGCAACAGGTCACTGGAAGGGCTGGGACCAGAGAGTCAAGAATACGGTTGGGAAAGACAGAAATCTGAACAGGCCTTGGGCAGGGAGAGAACAGATCACAGCACATAGGGCGGTGTGAGGACCCCAAAACAACCAGGGGAGAAGAGGCACCTGTCCAAGACGGGAGGGCAGCTGAGCCTGAAGAGGACAAAGGGCCAGATGATCAGATAAACACTGTGGTCCTGTGACGGCCAAGCTGATGGTGCCCCGTGGCTTCCTTTGGAAATCCCAGCAGAGGATTGTTGGAGGTTGCAGATCCGGGGCATTGAGAACACCTGGCTGGTGGGGGTGGGGATGGGGGTTCTGCCCTGGCAGGGAGAACATAGGTTCTGGCGTGAGTTAGCCTCAAATAACCTCTAATCCCTACGTCCCAAACACTCAAGATTTCGCGCTTCCACCAAGAAGAGTGGCCCATGCTTAAGACATGGCGTTGCTGCTGCGATTGTTGTAATAATAAGCCCCATTGCTGTGTTTTGTGATTTAGGAAGTGCTTTTCCATCTGCTCTGGTTGTCTCCTCCCGGCACTCTGGAGGACTGGAGCGATTTCTGCTCTGTGCTAGTGGTAATGACTGTGTGGCATTCAGGACGCCCCAGAACCTGGCCCCAACGTTCCCCCAGACTTCGTCGGAAGCCCCTTCCCCTCCCACCCCTCCAGTCTCCTCCTAGGCTCTCATTCAAACCTCGTCCTCTCTCAGAATGGCTTTGCCTTCTCCTCCCTCAGGGCCACAGCTGTTGTTTTATGGGCACGAAACGCCGTCCCTTCCCTTTTATTTCTGTCAAAGTCTTACTCATCCTTCAAAGCCCAACCCAAATATTCTCTTTTCTGTGAACCCTACCTCGGCTTTCCACAGTTGAACTGAGCAGCTCCCTCCCACGTCCTCCCATGGCACTGGGTTTGCACCCAACTTCCCCGCAGCAACACAGGCTGACCTGGTGGGAGTTTTCTATGTCCTCTGCTGGAGTGGGAGTTTTTGAGTGTTAACATACATCTCTCCGTGCCGGGCACTTTCTACTCGCTTTACAAATACTCACCTCACTGAATCCTCCTAATAACAGTAGGAGGGACTATTATTAGCCACATTTTATGGAAGAAACTGTGGTGTAGAGCTTGGGTACTTTGCCAAGGTCACACCGCCAGTAAGC